TATGGTAAAATAAATGTCACTACAATTTTTGATAGTACTAATATGATTGAGGGTTTTGGAAGAACCATTGTAATTTTGTCCAATGGAACTAAACTCATCATTAATAATGCAATGTTTTCTCCAAAATCTAAGAGAAACTTGTTGAGTTTTAATGATATCCGTGAAAATGGTTATCATATCCAATTAATGGATGCAATAAATCTTGAATATCTTGGTATCACCAAGAATGTCTCTGGGCATACATGTGTTATAGAAAAGTTCTCTGCCTTATCTTCTGGTTTGTATTGGACAAAAATTAGTGCAATTGAGGCACATTTTATAGTAAATAAGAAGTTTACTGATTCCAATACATTTGTATTTTGGCATGATCGTCTAGGACATCCTGGGTCAATAATGATGAGACGAATTATAGAAAATTCGAATGAACATCCACTAAAAGACCTAAAAGTTCTTTTAAATGGTGAATTTTCTTGTACTGCTTGTTATCAAGGCAAGTTAATTGTGAGACCATCACCAATGAAAGTTAAGATTGAGTCCCCTGCGTTCTTGAAACGTATACATGGGAATATTTGTGGACCTATTCACCCACCTAGTGGGTCGTTTAGATATTTTATGGTTCTAATAGATGCTTCTTCTAGATGGTCTCATGTGTGCCTATTGTCATTTTGTAACTTGGTATTTGCAAAATTATTGGCACAAATAATAAGGTTAAGGGCACACTTTCCTGATAATCAGATTAAGTCCATTCGTCTTGATAATGCTGCAGAGTTTTCATCCCAATCATTTAATGATTATTGTTTAGCAATTGGGATAAGAGTTGAACACTTCGTTGCTCATGTTCATACTCAGAATGGTCTCGCTGAGTCATTAATTAAACGTTTACAATTAATAACAAGACCATTACTTATGAAAACTAAGTTGCCCACTTCTATGTAGGGATATGCAATTTTGCATGCTGCAACACTTATTCGTCTCAGACCGGCAAGTTATCATAAGGTTTCTCCATTGCAATTGGTTATGGGTCAAGAACCTAATATATCCCATCTAAGAATTTTTGGAAGTGTTGTACATGTGCCTGTGGCACCACCAAACCGCACTAAGATGGGCTTTCAAAGAAGGTTATGAATATATGTTGAGTTTGAGTCACCCTCCATTATCCGCTATCTTGAATCATTGACTGGAGACATGTTTACTGCTAGATTTGCAGATTGTCGGTTTAATGAGACAATTTCCTAAAATTAGGGGGATAAAATATTGAAATAAAACGAGAAATTTTGTGAAAAAATTTATCATTGTCTCGTCTTGATCCATATTCTTCTACTTGCGAACAAGAAGTACAAAAGATTATTCATCTACAGAAAATTGCAAATCAAATGCCAGACGCATTTACAGATTTGAAAAGAATTACTAAATCACATATTCCTGCAGAGAATGTCCCAATTCGAATTGATGTCCCTAAAGGACCATCCACAAGGGTCATAGCTAATGAGTCAAAAACACACCTAAAGCGTGGTAGACCATTGAGGTCTAAGGATCAAAATCCTAGAAAAAGAAAGATTAAATGTCAAGATGACATTATGAAAGAATCTCATATGGAAGTTCAAAATTTAAATAAGTCTGATATTCATGAAAGAATCAATGAACTTGAAACTCAAGGAAATAATGAACTATCCATAAATTTAAGAGATGTTGAAACTAATATGAATCGATCAGAAATAGTGGTTGATTATGTCTTTGCATATAATGTTGCAACAAATATCATGAAAGATAATGAGGATCATGAACCTCAATCTGTTATAGAATGTCGGCAACGAAATGATTGGCCCAAATGGCAAGAAGCAATTCAATCAGAGTTGAATTCACTTGCCAATCATGAAGTTTTTTGGACCTATAGTTCAAACACCTAATGGTATTAAACCTATTGGTTACAAATGTATTTTTGTGCGAAAAAGAAATGAGAAAAATGAAATACAAAGGTATAAAGCACGCCTTGTGGCACAAGGATTTTCTCAAAGGCCTGGCGTCGACTATGAAGAGACATACTCACCCGTTATGGATGCAATAACATTGCGTTATCTCATTAGTTTTACAGTCCATGAGCAACTTGAAATGCATTTGATAGATGTGGTTACAACCTACCTTTATGGATCACTTGATAATGAGATATACATGAAAGTTCCTGATGGATTTGCGATGCCTAAATCATGTAAAGATCACTATATGGTTTGAAGAAATCTGGGCGCATGTGACATAACCATCTTAGTGAGTATTTAATTAAGGAAGGTTATACAAATGATGCAATTTGTCCATGTGTCTTTATAAAGAAAACAATTATCAGAATTTGTTGTACTTGCTCTTTTTGTTGATAACATAAATCTTATTGGAACTCCAATAGAGCTTCAAAAGGCAATTGATTATTTAAAGAATGATTTTGAGATGAAAGATCTGGGAAGGACAAAATTATGTCTTGGTTTGGAAATTGAGCATTTGAGAAATGTATTTTTGTTGATCAATCTGCCTACATGGAAAAAGTGTTGAAAAGATTATGTATGGATGAAGCGCATCCATTAAGTACTCCGATGGTTGTTCGTTCACTTGATGTGAATAAGGATCCATTCCGACCTCAAGAAAAGGATGAAGAAATTCTTAGTTCTGAAGTACCATATTTTAGTGCAATTGGTGCATCAATGTATCTTGCTAATACTACAAGGCCTGATATAGCTTTTACTGTTAACTTGTTAGCAAGGTATAATTTTTCTCCTATTAGGGGACATTTGAATGGGATCAAACACATTTTGCGATATCTTAAAGGGACAACTGATATGGGCTTATTTTATTCTGTTAATTGTAGCCCAAATCTTGTTGGTTATGCTGATGGAGAATATTTATCTGATCCACACAAAGCTCGATCCCAAACAAGCTATATGTTTATATGTGGGGGGACTGCCATATCTTGGAGATCTACAAAGCAATCCATCGTAGCCACTTTATCTAATCATGCTGAAATAATAGATATTCATGACGCAAGTAGAGAATGTGTGTGGTTAAGGTCTATGATACATCTCATTCGAGAGAAATGTGGTTTGGAATGTGATAAAGTACCCACCATTTTATATGAAGATAATGCAGCATGCATAGCACAACTTAAGGGAGGATTCATAAAAGGAGATGGAACAAAACATATTTCACCGAAGCTTTTCTATACACATGAACTTCAAAAGAATGATGATATAAATGCGCAACAGATCCGTTAAAGTGACAATGTGACTGATCTATTCACCAAGTCTCTACCAACTGCAACTTTCAAGAAGATGTTGCACAAGCTTGAAATGCAAAGATTCAAGTCTCTGGATTGATGTTCTCATTAGGGGGAGTTAATACGCGTTGTACTCTTTTTC